CATATTAGAAAACAATTAGCTTACTAAACAAATTTGAGTATTTGGTGGTGGTGGTAGGGGGTGATCCTCTCTGAATCTTTTTTGAATTTGACTAAGTATTATAGGATATTTGATAACCATGTTTAAAAATGGAGATATCCAAATATTATTGTAAACACCCAATGATTTGTTTTACCTACAATATAAGTATTTTACTTGGTTGGCTTACATAGTAGCTAATAATATTTGTTAATGTAATTTAACTGCTGTGAACCTTTACTGAACAAATATTGAAATTTATTCAAGTCAAAGAAAGAGAATCTCTAATGACTTTTGTTAAAGCTTCTATTTAATAGTTAAGGACAAAAGTTTGTATGACATACGAGATGCAATTAACAGTAGATTTTACATTTAATAAAAAGAAAGAAGCATGCGTATTTGCTTTATTCATTCCATCATAATTTGCAGTAGAGCTGTGGGTGTTTAATGAGCAAATTCCAACTAAAATGCTATATTGATTTTCTAGTGAACTTTGTAATAGTCATCCACCTTGGAAAAGCTCAGTGTTTACAATTAAGTTTTCTTTACTAAAAATGTTTGAGAGTTGCATATTGATCTTTAAAAGTACTGAATTCTAGAAAGAATCATGTCTTTCATAATCAAATATTACATAAAATCTAATAGGAATTAAAAATTATCATTGAATAATACCTTGCTTTTGGAAAAATTTCTTAGCATTTATAAAATGTATAATCTGATTTTATGTGTATGTCTTATGGCATTTTAAAGTTTAACCTTAGAATACTCAGAGGATTATCTTCTTTATTAAATACACACATTATTTACATCTTTAGAGTTGATACAGCATTAGAGAGAAAAAAAATGTTTCTTTTTTTTTTATCATACACGAATAAACCCTTAGTGCAAAGCATTTACCGTTAAGCATAGAGATAACTAAACTAATATTGCTAGCCTTACCCCTTCCAATCAAATGTTATTGTATATAAAGTGGAGCAAAGATGCATTATATGGCACTTTATAAAGACTTTATCAAACTTTATAAAAGTCATAGGAAGCCTATCAGCATTTGAGATTTAGTAATTAGTATTTTAACATTTCCAGAATATTTAACATGTGCCAGAATATTTCAGGGTAATGTGATATATAAGGTCTATCTGGAAAAAGTCCAACCATTGTTAATATAAGGATAACAGTGTGCACAATGACTTAAGCTGGCATCCAAGGAAAGCGGACTAGAATGTGCATATGTGAACAACAACTTCATTATACTAGTCAGTGGGGGCAGTAGAGTCCATTGAGTGAACATTTGTACTGTGTGGCTGTTGGATCCAAAATGACTGAGTGAATAGAGCAAGAAATCTGCATTAAATTTTGCATAAAGCTTGAAAATTCCTCCACAGAAACTATACATATGATTCAGAAGGCTGCAGCTATGGGCAGCTGGTGATTGGCAGCTTCATCACAACAACACATCCACTCATGCATCATGTCTCATGCAGAGTTTATTTGTGAAACATCAAATCATCCAGGTGACTCAGTACCCCTACAGCTCATATTTGTTGCCCTGCAACTTCTGGCTTTTCCCAAAACTAAAATCATCTTTGAAAGGGAAGAGATTTCAGACCATCGATAAAATTCAGGAAAATACAATGGAGCAGCTGATGGCGATTAGAACTGTCTGAGGTCCCAGGTGCCTGCTTTGAAGAGAACCGAGGCATCATTGTCCTATGTTCAGTGTTTCTTGTATCTTGTATCTTCTTTGATAACTGTCTGTTTTTCATATTACATGGCTGAATACCTTCTGGACAGAACTTGTACATGTTAATCTGCACTTTGATTACTGTTAAACATCATTTTGTCTGTCCTGTCTTCTTTACAAATTAGAAGTACTTTAAATGTATCTTAGAATATCATGATATTTTTTACAAACTAATATGTTATTATAACATGCAGTATGCAATGTAGAATAGGTTCTGAGTGATTTTTCTTTCAGTCTCTGTTTACAGTTTTTTGCATGCTACAGAAAAAGGCTAAAAAGTGAGGAATTTTGTGTAGTATTTTTACATGTGCAGATGGTCCAAATTAATCAAAAACGTGTTTTTTAGTAAGTCTAGAAGTGAGGCCAAATTGTGTGTCTGTGGATTGAGAGTGGTGACAGTAGTGTGTCAGGGAGGTAATATTTGTTAAGAATCCATTTTATTTGGCAAAGAGTTGTCTTTATTATCTCACTTAATCATTTCCCCACAACCATAAATGGTGGTATTATGTATTTTCTAGACCTGAATTGCAACTAAAATAATTTAATAAATGCACTGTATACAAAAACAAGTTGCCTAAGTTTAGTGTGATACGCTGATTCTGAATCAAAGTCCATATTCTTTCTAATACACCATGTTGCATTTTCTAGGCTGTTATAACTGTCCTACCTGGAAGGAGATTATATACAATTAGAAAGGGAAAATAAAACTCTTTATTGTATACTACAGTATGGGCAGGAGTTTCCTTGAAAATAGTGTGATGAATTGATACATGGTAACAAAATTTTGTAGCCACAGAAGGCCACAGAGCAGTAAATGATACTACCTTTAAAAAACAAAAACTATAAAAATTGTGCTGAAAAGTACTGGTTCTTCCAAAAGCTGGGTTCATAACAACAATCCCAACCTTATCTAAATTGTCAATTAAAAGCATTTGGTGTTATGCAAGTAGATACCTAGTTGTTTCAACATAACTTGTCATGTAGTTTGTTTATCCATTCATCTGTTGATAGAAATTTGGGTTGTTTCTAGTTATTGGCTATTAGAAAGTTGCTTTGAATATTTGTGTTCCAATCTTTGTATGGACACATGCTTTAATTTCTCTTGGATAAATACCTATGAGTGGAATAGCTGCATCTTAATGGTCATAGGTGTATGTTTGATTTTTTTAAGAAACCAACGAACTGCTTTGTCTATTCCCCATCTGTGAAAACACTCTCTCATGCACCTTTATTTTCCTTCAAAGCCTTTACTATTATATGTTATTTATATCTTTCTGTCTGTCTGTCTGTCTGTCTAGCTAGCTACCTACCTATCTGTCTGTGTGCCTACTTAAATTTTGGCCTGTTTTTTCTCTCTCTCTCTATAATAGTTCTCTCCAGGATGAGAAGGACTTTTTGACCACGAATAGGTATTCATGTTACCTAAAACTCAGTGGGTGATTGTCTCAGAAGCCTAATACATATTTAATGGATTGATAAGTGGATAATGGATGGATGGATGGATGAAAGAATATTTCTCTTCACATAGGCTCTGCATGTTGGAAGTGGTTTTGACTTTTTCTTTGCCATTTCATGTTCCATTTTATACTCTGTTATGCAAAAGATAATACAGTTGGCCCTATGTATCCACAGGTTTTGCATTTGCATTCAACCGACCACAGATCAAAAATATTCAAATAAAGGAAATCCCCAGAAACTTCCTAAAAGCAAAATGAATTGGCCATAAATTGAGCACTATGCTGAATCCATATGAATGAAGTAATCTGTAGGCATAGCCTGCTGTGTCCTATATGCAGACATAGGTTATATGTGAAACACTCTGCCATTTTGTATAAGGAACTTGAGCATCTGAGGATTTTGGTATGCATAGGAATCCTAGTACCAGTCCCCAGTGGATACTGAGAGATGACCATAGTTGACTTATCCTCAGTGTTTGTTTCTTTTCTACTGTGTATAATTTAATACAAAATAAAAGTATTAATCAGCTCTGTATTAATTTATAACAGATACTAGCAGATACCCTGGCTAGTGTGGCTCAGTGGATTGGGTGCCAGCCTACAAAGCAAAGGGTTGCTGGTTCGATTCCCAGTCAGGGCACATACCTAGTTTGCAGGCCAGGTTCCCAGTAGAGGGCACACAAGAGGCAACCACACATTGATGTTTCTCTCCCTCTCTTTCTCCCTCCCTTCCCCGCCAAAAAATGAATAATTAAAACCTTTAAAAAAAGGAAAGAAACCCAACATGATATGAACTCAAAGAGCATTTAAACATCTAAGTTTATTTTGTGGTTTGGCAATAAAAATAAAATTTGGTTCAGTAATCCAGGTACTTGCAGTGATATTTTAAAAATTATGTAAGATCTCAAGTAGAAATTGTGCTTGAGAAATGACAATTTCAGATAACAATTTCAGATAACATCCCTATATAGCACTGCATAAATCTAGAGCATGCCATTTGTATTAGAACCTGTAGGAAGGGTGCCCCTGGCGGTGAAGAGTGCTAAAAGCAGCATCGATTTGCCTCTGCTTCCTCTTCCTTGACCTCATTCCTTTCTTTCCACCATCGTACTGAGGTAACTACCATGCTAACTTGGGTGTTTATCATTTCCGTGCTTTTAAAAATATTTTTCCTAATTGTGTCTATCCATAAATAATAGAGTTGTCGTACTTTGCAACTTTCTATTTTTGCCAGAATTTCATGTTTGAGATTTGTCCATAGTTAATTCATTTTAAATGCTAGATAGCATTCCATTTTTAATATGAAAGGATTTATTTACTCCTCCAGTTATTGCACATTGAAGTCATTTCTGAGTTTTTGCTGTTATGTTTCAATAAGCATTTTTATACGTTTTCTTGTGTACCTATTCAAGAATTTCTGTAGGCTACATACCAAAGAGCAAATTCGCCAGATCATAGGCTATGCACATTTTCAACTGTAATAAACATTGTCAAGTTCTTCTTGATAGTTGCAGAAATATATATGCCTATCTGTAGTATATGTGAGAACATCATCTATTTCACAAGCTTATAGTATTTGTTATTATTTGGCCTTTTAATTTTCCTTTTATGGATGTAAAATTGTATCTCAGTTTTATTACAGTAGCTTTTAAGATAATGTTTTCCCAAGTGATTAATTGATACAAATTTAGGTGTATAAAATAAAATTTTTTTGCTCTTTATTTTTGCTAATAGTATGCATTTCTCCTTTATTTTTTCTAATTATGGATTATGTATTTTGGTAGCTCTGGTGGAAGAGGTGTATTTTGCACAAAGGGAACGTGAAGAAGCTATTATGTCTCGACTACAATTAGCCAATGAGGAGAGAGATGAAGCAGTCGCACGAGCCAAGCAAATGGAAAGGTCTCTAAAAGAGTATGTACACATTTAAAGCTATCCATGAGATTAGAAGCATTTATGAAGAGCTGAATTATGTGGTTACATATTTGGAAATGTTGCTGATTCTTGTGTGTTGCAGTGGTAAATTCCATATTCCCACAGTCTTCCTAAAACTTTTAGCATGCTATAGTAGTTTGCATATCAGGAATAACAGTTGCCACTCTCTTTCCCCCGGCCCATCCCCTACTTGCCAAAAAAAAGAAAAAAATTCACAACCTCCAAGTGCAGTTACTTCTTCATAGTTCTGTTGTAGATACGCCTATTCTATCTTCCTTTGTAACTTTTCTTTTCATCCCTCTTTCTTATTATCACTTTCTTGATTTCTTTCAGCTCCCTGCATTCTTTCTCTGCGCTCAGCTTCATATGTTCATTCCTGTTCTTCACTACATTTTACTTCTTTAGCTGTGGCTCTTAAACTTCAGTGGCACCTGAAATGGAAAGGAGCCTGAGGATCTATATGTTTAACAAGCAGCCCAAGTGATTTTCATGTAGGTAAATGATGGATCACAATTAGAGAAACAATGCCCTGGAAATAAGTAGGTCACCAATTTTAATGTGAATTCCAGTCACTTGAGGAATTTTATTAAAATTCAGATTTTTGTTCAATGGGTCTGGAGTGGAGCCTGGTATTCTACCTTTTTTCAAGATCCCAGATGATGCAAAGGATGCAATTCTAAAGGTCCCACTTTTGGTAAAAAGACCCTACAGCATCTTGAAATATATTACTTGTAAGGTAAATAAAATGTAGTACAGTATATTATGATCCATCAATATACTTACTGTGTGTTTTCTTTGCTCAACATTGTGCTAGGATCTGGGGAATCAAGTAAAGTCCTAATTAAAATATGGCTCCTCAGGGAGACAACAAGTTATTAAATAACTAACATGACAGTATTCAAGCTATGATTAGGTAATGTGATTTGTTTTGTTTTTTTTTTTGCTTAGATTAATGACTTAATTTTTTGGAAGACTGATAGAGACTTATTGTAAAGCATTAAACCCACTGAAAGATACAAATAAAGGAATAAAATATTTTACCTAAATTCTATACTACCTTCTCCAAAATAACTATCTTAATAGGGAAATATCATTCCAAACATTTCTCTTTGCTTGTATACTTAAACACTATTATCTAGAAGGATGGATAGTGGGTGGTAGAATGGGTGCATAATTTGATAAAAATCAAATCATTCTCTACGTGTTTTATTTGAGAGATATCATAGGATAGAGGTTAAGGGCAAAGATTCCAAATCCAGACATCTGTCTTTGAATCTTGGCTCTGTCGCTTCATAGCCATGCAGCCATGGACAAATTACTCAGTCTCTGGGACTCAGTTTTTTGGTCTACAAAATGAATAAATAGTGCCTGTTTTATAGAGGTCATTATGAGGACTAAACAATTTAATAAATATTGAAAAGTACCTGACTCGTAGCAAGTGCTATCAATATGTAAGAATTTACTAGTAATAATTAATTGAAGTGAAACTGAAGAAATATTTGAACTTTATGCAATGTTTTCTCCCAATAAAATATATTAATTCCCTAAAGAGCCATCTAAATTTAAGAAAAGAGAGTGAAAAACATTAAGGTGTTGGATTGTCAATTTTGTTTTCCATTTTTGGAAACATGCAGTGTTTCAATTAAACAAAATTTGACTCTCTGTTATGAAAAAAATAAATAATTTTAAACTTCTTTTTTCTTTTTCTTTATAAATTCTACTTCTAAAATATTTGTAAAAGTTGTGTTATATTTTATGGCTAAAGTGCCCCCTTGTTTTTTATTTGTAATCTTTAAAAGGATTGAATAATCAACACTGGCACTTTTATCAAAAATGACATTTTTATGCCTGAGTTTTTTATTGTGAGGAATTCCTGGGCAACAGAATTTCATTTTCAAACAGTTTTTTGAGGAAGGGCTCATATCTCTGGGTTAACATTCTCCAGACTGGTTGTGTGTTATCTTTATATCCAAATGGGTTATGAATAAAATTACTGGGTTACGTATTTTTTATTCTAAACATTGTAAATATCTTACTCTTTTTTTTTTTTTTTAGAGTGGCTGAAAAGAAATCTGTGGCCAATCAGATTTCTTTTTCTCCCTTGAGGTGGTTTGTTTTTTCTACCTGAATACCTGAAGGAATCTTTCTTTATTCTCGAAGAACTTTAGGATGTTTGTGTTGATTATTTGGAAATAATATTTTTGGAACCTCAACATACCTTTTTGAGAACTATTTGATTTTTTATTTATTTCATGGAAATGTTAGATTTGTGGATTTTCTATTCTGTTTTTTTAGGTTTTGTATCCTCAAGAATCTAGTTATTCTTATATTAGGGCACTTTTGTCCTTTTCTGTTATTTGTTCAATAATTATTTTAATCCCTTTCTTTTTCTCTGCATTTACTGTGATAATGGCAAACCTTTTCTTTATGTTAACTAGTAAATTCAATTGTCACTATTTCCTTTCCTGCTATTTCTGGTTCATTTATGAAATTATTTATTTATTTGTTTGTCTTTCTAAACTTGTTTCCTCAGACTTCCCTTGTGTTTGATGACTTTAACAGTTTACAGGAGTACTAGTCAGCTGTTTTATAAAATGTCTTATATTTGGTTTTTCTGAATTTTTTTTCATTGTTAGCCTGAGGTATTGGTTTTTTAGGAGCAAGTACAGGAATGAAGTGACATTCTCATCACTTTATTTCAAAGTTATATGTTGCCAACTTGACTTAGAACTAATGATGCTAATCTTGATCTTGGTCAAGGTGGTGCTTGCCATGTATCTCCACTATAAAGTTACCTACCTGCGTTCCCCTTTCATACTCTAAGCAAATTACTTAAGGGCAGCCCATATTGAAGGAGGGAAAAGAAAGGAGGTTAGTAGAGCTCTACTTCCTGTGGGGAGACTGTCTATGTAAATTCTTCAGTGCTAGAGATCTGTCTCTTCTCCCTTATTTATGTGCTTATTTATGTCAGTATGGACTTATAGATACGTTTTTAGAATCTAATACTGCTTGGAGCATTCCATCTTTGGCCATTGTAAACTCTTTCAGTTGGTTTCTGTATCCCTTTGACATGCCTTCATCTTTTTTATTTTTTTTTAGCACCTTCTTACTTTCTGTTGCTTCAGGATGCTCCAGGGTCATGTTTTATAGGATTGTATAGAGATATGACTCCTCCCACCCCCGTCCCTGGAGTCAGCCATTGCTCTAAGGAGCCCTGATTCCTTTTATTGGAAAATGGTATTAGAAACCAAGATTGGATGCCAGGCGAGCTCATTGTTGCTGGGTATGATTTCTTGTAAATCCAAGAAGAAAGAGCTAGGAAATATATGTATGTATACTAACTGATGTATATATACATAACTGCAATTTTGATCTTATCCATCTGTATCTTTATTAAGCTAAACCTAAATTCATACTAATGTCTCTGATTCTAATGCAGTTCATCCTAGCTTTCCGCTTTTTTCTTATGTGTAATTTTCCTTTCCAACAGTAAGAAACCTGGCTCTTACCCCACACCATCCATTTACTTACATATGTACAAATTAAGGTAGATGGTAGAAGTAGAGGGTAAAAAAATCAGCATAGAAGGATGGGCTCAATTTATATATATCAATGAAAGAGAGAATGAAAAAAACTAAGAGACCAATTTAATCAGCATTTTGAAAAAGTTTTCAATATGTATGCAGATGGTAGTGCCACATTCAAGATAGGGGATTAAGGAAGATACAGTTTTAAGAATGAATTAATAAATTTCATTTTTGATATGCTTAGTTTGAGTTGCCTGTGAAAATCGGAAATATACAAGTCCTGTAATGTGTAATTGATTGATTGACTCTTTGGGTAAGGAGTCGACCAGTTGGAGATTTTTTATCTACAAAGCATGAATATTACCGTGTACCTCAAGGAGCTTTGATATCGCATAAGAAACTGATATTTTATCTGTTTTGGATAAATTTGATTTTTGAAAAGCAATACAATGTATTCAGGAGCAAGGTCCATGAATAAAATTGGTGAGCAATCTAGGTGACAAGATTTATAGTCAAATTCCATGTAAGTATAGTACTGTGTGGCAATTGATAAATTGAACGTAACAGTACTTGCAATCTCCAAAGAAGAGTTGTAAAGTTATAATGGAAGCATTACTAAAATAAGAAAGAAGGTATGTACTTTGAAAAGTATGTTGAAAAAAACAAATACGTACATAAGGCAGCCAGACCATGGAGTAAAATTCCAAGCCAGCCATCAAACAAACAAGCAAACAAAAAACCATATGGCACCAGCAGGTGTTTTTGTAGATGTAAACAAACTAATTCTAAGAGGTATATTGGAAAGGCACAGGTACTAGAATAGCCAAAAAATTCTATAATAAATGAACAAAATTAGAAGAGTGACATTATTTAAGACCTACTATAAAGATTCAGTAGTCAAGACTCTGTGCTATTTGCAAGAGGATAGACATACAGATGAATGGCACAGAATAGAAAGTCCAGAAATTAATCCAGACAAATAGAGTCAACTGATTTTTTATGCAGATGCAAAGGAAATTTAATGAAGAAATAATAGCCTTTTCAACAAATGGTGCTGAAAAAAATGTTTATATATTAAAAAAACAAAAATGAAAGCAGAAAACCTCCACAAGTACCACATACCTTACACAAAAAAATGAACCCAAAATAGATCACAGACCTAAATGAAAAACATAACATTTATAACTTCTAGAAGAAAACACTGGAGATAAGTCTGTGTGACCTTATATATGGCAATCAATGAGTTTTAGATTCAATACCAAAAGTATAATCCATGATAGAAAAAAATCCATACATTAGATTTTGTCAAAATGTAAAACTTATGTTCTGCTAAACACACTGCTAAAAGAATTAAAAAAACATTGTAAGAAAATATCATATCTGATAAAAGACATCTAGAATACAGGGTGGGGCAAAAGTAGTTTACAGTTCATATGGAAAATAATACAATAATTATAAGTAATAATACAAGCATAAACTCTATGTTTCCTGTACTCCCAACTGTGCACCTACTTTGCTCACCCGTGCATGTATTAGTGTGTCAGGTTCAGTTCTGTTTGCTCAGAGCGCAGAATTGTAGCCCCAGTGTAGGAAGAGGGTAGACATTAAGAAAATGACCACATCAATACTTAAAATAACGTTAATTAATATATATTATTGGTACTTAGGGACAGTTTATAGTCATCTCTTAATAAATTCTAATCTAGGGCTACATGTGGTGAGATCAAGAAAAACCATAAGAAAAAAGGAAGAAAAACAACAAAGACTAATATGTGAATAGTTTTAAATAGCACTGTACAGGTTTCTTTCTACTTAGCTGAAGTCTATAGCTTCTGAGCTTTCAATAGCTCACTTAGACTAAATCCTTGTTAATATGGCACCAGTTTGTAACTGAACTTTGCTGACGGAAATCACATTTGGAGGTGTTGAGTATAGGTTGAAGTTATATATAAATTATTTCACATCTCTTTTTGTTTTAATACACTATTTTGATCCCACAGTCTTCAAATTCCTTCTGTCTTCTTTTTTCTCTTCTCTTTACCATTTCTAATCTACTTTGCATCTTTATGTTTAATGTCTGTTTTATTACTCTGCCACTTCTCTGTCTTCCCTTATCCCTTGAATCATCAGCGCTTTTTTCTTTTTTAATTTTATCTAAAAAATAGGAAAAAAGCCAAAAGGATTGAAGTTAAAATGACTTACATATACATACTAATACAGACATGTTTACATAGGTATATTCCAACTTTTGAGATCATGGTATTTTTTTCCATCTCTTTATTATTGTTGTTGTATTCTTTAACATATTAAGGATGGTAGCGTATAAAAATGTGACTGAGAGAATTGAAAAAAAACAATTCATAATTTTCTGATTAGCTGATCACTAGTTCTTTTATCATGTGAGGTCAAAGTTTAGCTTTTTCCCATTGAACAAAGTGAATGTCTATACGTTCAGAAAGCAAAGACACGAAAGACATGATATTGAGTGATTTAGGGATAAATCAAGAAATGTGACATTTCATGCATTGGTCTTTTCACTGAGAGTGCAAGGTTGTCAGTCAGAATTTGCATGGTATAGGAAATCAATTGAAACTTGAGCCCATGGATATTTACCTCAGCAAAATTCTTACTAATTATCATGACTATGTCTAGTTAGACTGTTGTAGGCATAATTTAGAGTATACAGAAGGTTGAGATTCTTGTGTATAATTGTAAACCTCATATTAATTATGTATAATTTATAGTTCCTCAGATGTTTCCTGAGAAAATAATGGTATTATTTTAAGTCTTTATTAAGCCAGTAAAGCTTTATATGTTGTACATCTACTAGTAAACATTAAACCTAAAAAATTATTTTATATAAAAAATTGAATGCCTTGTATAGATGTTTTATATTGTCTTCTTTTTTCTCAAGGTCTATTTTTATCTAATTTTTGTTTCTTTTAATTGATAAAGTAAGTTATGTACTTATTGTAGGACTGAATTTAACGTTCTGAAAACCACTTTTTTTGATGATTAATCTTTAACTAGGAAATTGAATGATACTGCTCAGAAAAATATGTCAAATACGCAAAGTTGGCACTTACAGTGTATTGACATCAAAAATCTGGTCTCATTTTTCAATACTGTGTATTGGGGATCAGCAAAGGGAGGACCTATGGTACACATTCAGCCTTCCTCCTGTTTTTGTAAATAAAGTTTTATTGGAAAACAACCACACAAATTCAGGTACATATCACTTATGGATGTTTGTGCTACAAAAGCAGAGTTTAGTAACTGTGACAGAAAACATATAGCAAAGCCTAAAATGCTACCTGACCCTTTGCAGAAAAGTTTTTCTGATTCTTGCTTTCCGTAATCTGATTGAAACTAAATTATAATGTAGTTCATCTTTGATATCTATGACAAGTATTTTCTGAGACTTTTAAATGAATATAGAGAGAGAAATGCAAGTATAGGCTTTTCTCTTTCCAAATTTATGTTTGTATTGAAAGTTACTTTGTTTCTAGGTAAATTTTAAATATCTAGTTAAACATTTGCTCATTGTTATTAAAGTTTTATTTTTCTCCAAATGATCATTTATTACTGGCTTCAATTTTAAAATATAATTGAGCAAGGCAAAATGGAGATCCAAACGTTAAGTGTTTGGCTTGGGTCACTTATGCCCTGCATGTTGGACCTGGCATACTTACCAAACATTCAAATTCATTCATCAGCAGAATGATAAATCACTACGTATTATGTACTTTTAAGGGCAATCACATAAATTATTTATAATTTGAATGTTAAATTCATGTGCCAGGAATTTATTATAACCTTTGATAAGAAAATTTTATTTTAATTTAAAAATATTTTAGTTGTTCGTAGGTAATTTTGATATTATACTACATACAATTTTCTGAACCATATTCTGTTGAAAGATGCTAATTTAAAACATTGAAATGTCTGTGTTAATGTAGTAATTTCTCACATTGCAGTGGCTGGGAAAAAAAACTAAGTATTACATAGGAATTCTATAAAATTTTTGTTATGTTGATATTTGGAATATACATATTAGGTAACATATCTATATTGTTATTTTTCTTTCCAATCATATTTAATTCTTTGAAACAGAAAAGAGAGATTTATAACCTTAAGAACTAAATTATTTTTGTAAAAGTTGCCAGTAATCTACCAATCTGAATGTTTAATTTTAATGTATCTTTTTATATTTTAAATTATCAAGTTTAATTTAATTATTAAGTTAAAAATCTTAAGTTGAGTCATCTTTGGCAGTTTCCATAATTAACTTAATCTGATTTTATCAAAAAAGAACAACATTAAAGTAAATATTCCTCACCACATATACTTTCCTTTAAAATCATATTTAGCCAACCAGTAACTGATGGTTAAATGCCACTGTCGCTTTTCAAATACTTTTACATGATCATACATTAACTGTAAGAATTCTGTTGTTTTACACTTTTCCACTATGTTTTTTAATTGAGTGAAAAACAAGCGAGTATCATCACAGTTCTTGTAGAACAATCTTCCATGAAGCAGGATATTTGGAAACTGTTGATTTATTTTGGGAGAATAAAGAGAGAAGATGTGAGTGTTTGCCCTAGTTGAAATGTGAATCCAAGTAGACATTAGTAGTCTGAGGCAGAATACGTTTATAAAATTCAAAATTACTGTACCTTCCTGTTAACCTATACTGCTTAAGTATGTATAGAAATAGTTTTTTGATATATTTCTTTTCTGTTAAGATGCAGTGTTCTAAAATTTATACTTTCCATCAATGTAGCTATTTTATTGAACTGTAGGGTTTGGAACAATTTTGAAACAAAATTTTTAAGTGTTTTCTATTATCTTTTCCTAGTATCCCTTTTTTGTGGTAAATGTTAAATCATAGGTGAATAGAAATTGGGTGGGGTCTTATACAATCAGGAGCTTGGATTTCTAAAATTTTTAGTATGATTTTAAAATAATTGAGGATATTTCTAAAATCTACATCATTTTACTAATACCTGTTAAGATTTTTATTTCATTTACCCAATTTAATGGTTGCCTATATTACATTATGGACATTTTCTAAGATATGTTATTTTAACTTTTTTTGTTTTTACTACATTTCTTAAATTCACCAACATCAACAGTCATTTCTGTAAGCACCATGACTCCTAAGACAAAGTGAATTTTATGAGGGGGTCCAATTTGCTTCTTTTGTCCTTAATTGACTAATTCTATATATGTCATGAAAAAGAAAAACAAATATTAGTCTTCTAAAAATGTGGTTCAGCTTCGGTCAGCCTTTCTATATAGTGAATTTGTTATAAATAGATAGCAGCAGGGATTTTCAGATTGAATGTAGTAGTAATTATTTGTCATTGCTTTTGAGGTAACATAGTTAAAATTTGTAATTAAAATACTTGTTTTATTTGTGATGATGTCCAAAAAACAGAGGAAATACAGTTTCTGGTAGGAATGGAAAGTCCAGGAATAAATATAATGATGAGAATGAGTGCTTCTATCACTGGGGAACTTTCTTCATCTAAGCACATATGAACAATTGATCCTTGTAGTCATATATAGCAGTAAACATTAATAACTTAACAGTCTGAAGTCAGTGCAGAAGATATGGAGCATTATTGAAAGATGGAGTCGAGCAGGTGGCACTTTAATATGTTCAGTGTCATGGTTGACTCTAAAGACTAGTCGAATGAAATTACTTGAGGTTCTAAAGATTTAAAAAGCGAACTCATTTTGCTGCACTAAGGAAATGCTACTGATCAGGCTTTCTGTGTCCCTTTTTTCTAGGCTAGAAAATATTAACCCTGAAGAAAATGACATGGTAAGCCATTCTCTGAGGAGATTTCTTGATGTCAGTCTTATATCTTAGAGGCTTAAGTTCAATTGAGTGGGTTTCAAGAACTAAGATGTGGGAAAAAGAAGAATTGACACACTAATAATGTACATCTTTGCTGCAATATGAAAATTCAATAACTTCACTCAGTCAATTTACAATTCACATGTGCCTATTAATTAAAACCCTATATTAAATAAAATATATTAAAATTTCATGTCTGACTAACATATAATGGTGTTGGTAGACATTACAGGAATTACTGAACAGAATAAACAATGCAGACACAGGCATAGCTATTGAGAAGAATGGAGCTATAATTGTGGATAGAATCTACAAGACCAAGGCATGTAAAAAGAGAATAACTGCGGAAGAAATGAATGCAGTGATAGAAGAACGGGATGCTGCTTTGTCTCAGGTAACTGCATGTATCTGTAAAAGCATATACTTACCATTTCCCCGTCCTTTACCATTAAAAAATGACTTTCCCCACATATTCTTAGTTCAAAGCAGTTATTGCCATATAATTAACATCACAGTGATAGATATGTTAAAATGATCACATCTTTTGTTATACAAATACATTCTTCTTCAAATACATGCATCCTCATTTCTTAATAAACTCCTAGCTTGTTATAAAAAGCATAATTATATTCTTCAATGTAATCACTTCTATATGAGGCTCCTTACTTGAGTCACAGTTTTGTGAGGCCTGAGATTGTATCTTCATTACCTTTTTATTCCCAGTTCCTAATTCAGTGCCTTTTAGTAAATATTGATAAATGAATCAAATTATTAGTGTATTCTTTCCTGAACATTGCGTACACCTTCCTGCTCTGACTGAAACCTGATTACCTCCCTGAGGGCACTGCTTCTGCGGCAGTCCTCTCTCTCAAGTAGTGATTGTATTCCCGCCCACAGTGGTTACCCCAGCCGCGGCAGAGGCTTGTTCCTCATTAGTGTTTTTAGATCATTGTTTCACCTTCCTCTATAAACACCTCCAGCGTGGAACCTCAGACATCAGATTATACCAGTACATACCCCTGTTGCAGTTGTGTACACATTCCTATGTCCCTTCCCTCATTTCTTAAAGATTTCAGGATCTCTTTCACTCTCTTTGACCTACTCCTGTCATGGTTCTTGATGATTTAAATATCTATGTAGATTATTTTTTTCATATCCAGTCTCAATTTCAAGCATCCCACTTTCTGACCACTACTTACTATCTTTCCAGCTCACTTGCTCTAGAACTCTGGCTCTAGCAAATTTTCAACATTACTGACACCTATTTCTGTCGATCTTACCCCACCCATTCCTATCCCTGTAACCTCTTAGGTCCTCACTTTCCACTTTATCTAGCTTAGATGCCATGGCTCACTATAAATATCAGCAACTTGAATATAATAAGACCTTAGCCTTCTTGGCCCTTTCTTTCTTTGTCTTGCTCACCTGGCAAAACCTAAGCTTTGTAAGTTTATCTTTCTGCCCATTCTATACCTTCACAGATTTATATGGCAAGACAGTATCACTTTAAATCTGCCGACTGAACTTACCTTACATACATGACCACTGTCTTCAAGTAGGCCCTTGGTTTTACCTGACAGTCTTCTTGCTTTTTGTTAGTCCATTTATTCTTCCCTCTAGAGGGCTATTTTATTTCTTTTCCTTTCTTCTCAGATATCTATGCTCTCCTTCCAAATGAGAAAAAGAACGTCTGCTTGCCTGCACCATTTCATATACCAGCCTGCCTGCATTTGCACTGGTATGCTCTGATTTTTCTTTCCTTCCTTCCTTCCTTCCTTCCTTCCTTCCTTCCTTCCTTCCTTCCTTCCTTCCTTCCTTCCTTCCTTCCTTCCTTCCTTCCTTCCTTTCTTCCTTTCTACTACATGCATCTGTTTAATGGCAGCCTCTATTTCTACACTAGTTCACGTCTTTTCTTGCCTGATTAAGGTTATCACGTAACTAGTCATCCCTTTCTCTCCTGCTTCATAAAATGTTTCCTATTAGTTCGTTTCTATCAATGTCTAAAATTCTTTAGTATCTTTCATCGATACTAGTGTGGTGTTTTGGTAAGTGTTGGTCTTCTTGAGGTTCACCCAGCACTTCTTTCCTTCCCAAACTGGGAGCTGCATACTCACTACCCCTGACAGATTCTGTACTTCACTGCTTGTCTCCTCAGCATTGTAAATCTGTGAAAGACCCATTATTCTTCTCAGAGATTGTTTAAGACTTAGTTTTTTAACTTAAAGCCCCATGCAGGTTTGGGATTTAGCAAATGATGTGAGGCAGAAACAATTCTCAAATCTGCAATTTTGTCACTTCAGTATAACTGCCAAAAGTTTAATTTCCCTGTCCTCCAACAGGAGCCAGCCCTCTCTGTAGTTGAAGCCTGACTTCTCTGTCCTTGCTCATGCCTTCAATTTTTAAAACTAGGGGGTGGAGGAATGACCATAGATCTTCAAATCACCTCTCTCCAGAGGTGAACCGCCCTTCAGAAATTAGTCACTCAGGTCATTGTTGCAGCAGCAGCCTTCAGATTATATTTTAATTTATCTGGCTTGTCTTATTCTTGGCTGGAGCATTGTCCTGCCACAAATGATCTCATCCTATCTAGATGTGGAGATCTGACATTTATCTTCCGATTAGAATTGGAAAACAGTCCTTAAACTTCTAAGACAGGCAACTGTTTTTACCATTGTGGTTTTTCTACCAAGTGTATTCAGTCTTGGATCATTCAGTTTGTTGTTGAAGAGATAGCCGAAACTATTTTTATGTACTTGGAAATAATTGTAGTATAAAGTCAAACATTTGATCTTTTATCACTTATTTTTTAAATTAAGTAAAAACAAACACATAGAGCCTAATTAAATATTGCTTGCCATTCATTCCTACTTCCTCTTTTCTTTACCTACTGCCTTTCATAGTATAAAATATAAAGAAATCATCGATACTTGGTAATTTTACCGGCATGTCTTTATTTATAAATAGTTATTGTTTACCACTGCACATATATTTATTATGTTGAATGGAGAAGCAGTTCTTCTTTATTTTAATTATTTTAATTTACATATTTGTCAAACTCTCTGGCCCAAGTGGTATTCATTATTATTTTTGTCATGATCATTGTAAAGGTAAACTTTTTAATTACTGTCTTATAGTTCTCAATGGAAACTTTTTTTACATAAATTTTTTTAAATAAACTTTTTATTTTGGAAGTTTTAGATTTACAGAAATGTTTCAAAGATAGTAAAGTACACAGTGTCTATATACCTTTCACCCAGTTTCGGTGTCCCCTGATTTTGCCATCTTACATTACTGTGGGACAGTTGCCAGAATTTAAAAACCTACATTAGTACATTACTGTTAACTCCAGACATTATTCAGCTTTTACCACTTTTCCATTAAAGTCCTTCTGTTCCAAGATTCACTTTAGGAAACTGCACTGAGTTTAGTTGTCATGTCTCCCCAGTCTCTTCTTTTTTTTTTCTATGACCTTTACTGTTTAAGGATACTTATCAAATATTTTGTGGATTGTCTCTGATGTTTTTCTTAAGATTAGACTGAGATTTTGAGTTTTTGAGAAAATGTCAACAGATATTTCACGTAAACTTTAAAATTATTATTTAGCATCAGATATTTTTATTTTTTAATCCCCGTATGTTTTTACTGATGTTTTTATTGATGAGAGAGGTCGAGAGAAAGAAACATAGATATGAGAAAGAAACATCGATTGGTTGCTTCCTGTACGTGCCTGACCAGGTTCTAATCTGCAGCCTAAGTATGTACCCTGACCGGGAATTGAACCCACAACTTTTTGGTGTATGGGACATCACTCCAACCAATTGAGCCACCTGGCTAGGGCCAGGTGTTTTCTAATTGTACTAAGTCTTCTTTGTAGTACCAGAAGAAATTCATTAGTCCCTTTCTATATAGCTGTTGGAAATCTTCACATTTTGTGATAATTTATTGATTTTGATACATTAATTAACTATATTTTCTAAATCAAGTTAAAATCACTTATTTACTTGAACTGGCCCTGTTAAAACCTTATTTTTTTCAGATGAACTCTTATACTCTTATTTATTCAAGTTCTTCTTATCTTTTTCTCTTTCAAATAGAAAATTTAAAGCCTTAAAGTCTTTCATAGGATGAATTAAAAGTTTTACAATTAGCATTTGTTTGATTAAGGAATTGTTTTACCCTCTCATATTTGTTCTTTTATGTCATTTTCTTTGGCCCATTAGTGCTCGCATATTCTATTCAAATTTTAGAAGTAACCTATTTTTTTAACTAATTTTCTCTGATCTTAAGTTTTATAGAGCCCTAGAAGCTCTCTAGTTAAGCAACCCATAAATTGAGGAATTTTATCTGTGACTAATGTTCAGTTTAGCCAAATACTCATTTCTTAATGTCAAGCCATTGTTGCTGTTATTGGCCTCAGAGGATTTCACTGTTTAATTACATTGCTTCAAATATATTCAGGCATCTATGTGACCACTAATATTCAAAGTCTTACAGGCTAGGCTTAGAGACACAATTGGATCCAGGTCAGACATCAGTATGCAACAGAAGAATCATAGAACTAACCAGGATCGGCAATGTATTAGCTTTTAGAGCTGACCTAATTGTGAGCTACAGTAATTAAGTAACCATATGTATGAGTCTGGGTTATCCAGAAAAACAGAACTAATGGGAGAGAGATTTTCTATAAGGAATTGGTTCATGCGGTAATGGAGAATGAGATTTCCAAAAGCTGCAGTTGGGCAAGTTGTATACCCAAGAGAACCAATGCTGTATTTCCATTCTGAGCCTGAAGGCCTGGAACCAGTAGAGCTGATGATGTAAGTTCAATTCCAAGTCTGAAGGTAAGAGAAGAGCCAATATCCTAGTTTAAAAACAGAGGAAAGAAAATCTTCCTTATTCAGTTTTTTATTCTATTCAGGCCTCCAACAGATTGGATGAGACCCACCCACATTGGGGAGGGAAATCTGTTTTACTCAGTCTACTACTACAAATGTTAGTCTCATCCAGAAACAACATTAAAGACATACCCAGAAATAATGTTTAACCAAATATCTGGGAATCCTGTGGCCCAGTCAAGTTTTCATATAAAATTAACCCTCATACCTTTCTTAAAGAGTTCTGGCTAAATTAAGTTAGTTTTGATTTACAAGGATGTGTATAGATAGGCAAGGGCTAGCAGCAGGAAGATTTAGTCTTTATTGATCCTTGTAGTTGATAGGATAACATTATAGAGATTTTCATTAATTAGACCCCAGCTGGATCTGGTGCATAGGTGAGGGGCCCAGTCCTTGAGAGCTGAATAAATTAGACATGGGAATGAGGTTGGGATATGGACTTCAGCCAAATGAGCTGGGGTATTAGTAAAACATGTTTGAAACACTAAAGCAAGATTTG